AAAGAAAGAAAGAAAGAAAGAAAGAAAGAAAGAAAGAAAGAAAGAAAACGTGTACCTCAATTCTCAATTAGTAAGAACCTTTATTGCCTTAGAAGGTTTGGTTAAAATTCTTACTTCCTTTTTAAGTGTGTGTGTGTGTGTGTGTGTGTGTGTGTGTGTGTGTGTGTATGCACATGTGCATATAAGTGGTCTGAAGATGGCAGCAGAGGGCATCAGATCTCCAAACACAGTGAGCAACCTGACAAGGGGGCAAAAAATCAAACTCAAGTACTCTGCAAGAGCAGTACAAGGTCTTAACCATAGTGATCTCTGCAGCACTATAACAAATTTTATAATTTACTTATAAAAAAATATATCTTATCCTAAACATAAGCACAACATGAGCATAGTATAGTATCCTCTATCTCTGAAAACCATCCAGGTAAACTTGGACTAACACATCCTGTCATAAATAAAAACAACTGAAGTGTATTCCAAAACACAGCACTCCTCTTAAATAAAGACTCCACGTAATTCTAACAGAATTTCAATCTTCTCAGACAGAAAATGGAGAAAAGAACATGGCATCCTATCATATTAGGAAAGCTAAGATGTACTATGTTCTTTGAAGAAAAGCATCAAACTCATGAAAGGTACGTCACCTCATTGCAATTATGTGTTCCTCTACCTAACAAGTAAAGTGCATAAGAAAAGCCACACTTCTTAGAGTCACAGCAAAAATTGTTTCCTAAACACCCAAATAGCATGAATTCTAAAATCTCAGTAGGGAAAAAAATATTTAAGAGCTTATGTATAGCCTTCTTTGCAGTGTTTTTATAATCTAAGTTTTAATTGCTTTATTCTTTTTTCTGTAATACAATGTAAAGAACAAAAACATGCAGAAGTCAAACCATAAGCGTATCTACATATGCTGCTCAAGCTATGTGCTGACAGGCATTCTCAGCGCAAGTGACCCAGAGGCAGAAAGCGCCACACATGGAGGACTCTGGACAGTTGCCTGGAGTGAAGTCAGTATTTTCCTCATTCTTCTGCTCTTGGCCTTTGAGTGCTTCTATGTCTTCCTCAGGCGGATGAATTACTACTCTGGGAATATCATCCCTGTCAGGTGACACCAGTAGTTCTGGGGCCTGAGGCTGACTCTGTTGGGAACTTCTGGAGGCCAGGCGACTTAGGCCAGGGCTGGAAGGAGGACTGCTCTGGGGGGTAGATACTGGGGTGGTACACCTCGAGCCTGCAGGGGTTCCAGCTCTTGAAGAAGGAAGAAGATGACTGAGAAGAAGAGATAAAGGCGATTCTCCTCTCAAGGAAAGGTTTGAGGCAGACAGACCTGTTCGCAAAGAATGGCGGGAGGCAGACAGGCCTTCCCCTGAGATAAAACAAGTAAGTAAAAAGTGATGTTCATTGCATTAAGCAATAGAGAGCACAAAACTCAAACCACAAATTACAAGCTCAAATTCCTGTGAGGGTTAGCAGGTCAGTCATACTTGCTATAATGGCACTAAAAAGTTCTTAAACTGCAATCAGTTCCCTGACTGAATGTGTATTTTAAAAAATAGTTCTCCTAAATGGTACCAACATATATAGATAGTTACGTCTTGAAAGATTCTACATTAGTATTACCTACTGATTAACTTAAAACTGTTAACTTAAAAATGTTTGTACCAGGGGCTGTTCAGTACTTTTAAGTAAAGTTTAAAAATGCAAGACAAATTATAGAAATTATAATTATAAAAGAGAATCATAGCCAGGTATGATTAATCTCTTAGTTCAAGGCTAGGCTGGTCTACAAAGCAAGTTTCAAGAATTACAGAATTACACAGTGAAACCCTGTCTCAAAAATAAAGGAGAGAGAAAGAGAGACAGAGAACTGTAACATCAAATTTTAAATCAGTATTCCAAGGCGCATCTTACTTCTGCCATAATACATCCAGTTAATCAACTGTATACACAATTGATGAATTAGCTAGCTAAAAACAAAGCATTTACCAAGAGCAATAAGAAAGTAAATCTAGAACATTTCAAAAGCATAGGAACAGTTATACTTAAAACACCTGGTACTACTAGTAAATGTGGCTTAAAAGTGAAGCACTTTCTCCTGAAGATTTTTAAAATTAAATAGTAGTTGTATAAGAAATGTAAAAATCTTTTGTAGCCTGCGTAATCAAAGCTACATAATCAGGAGAGTCAAATATAAAGAGTGTAATAAACCCATTATTTGTATGGTAACTAAAATATATTAATAGAGACAAGTGTTAATACATAAACTACCATTCAGTTCTTAAGAGCTACATGCAGAAAAGTTTATTAATTATAATTTATTAATTATAACGCAACAAAATTAAAACATTGCATTCAAAAGAAAGTAGCCATTGTATGATGAAAAGAAATTAAACTATAGAGAGAAAAAAGAAAATACTACATATAGTTAATAAAACTTTATAATAGAGTCCTTCAAGTAAATAAATCACGTCACTGCAGTGGAGAATATACAATAAAGGAAAAATGAAAGCAGGAACTATGCCATGTACAATTTGTTTGTAAATTAAACTTAAGTCCCTTAAATGTTCCAAATCATAATTTAAGCAGATTAAAGACCCCTTAATGATCAAGTTAAATATTTTATACTAAGCTACAAACAATGGCTGCTGTCAACTTCTTAAGGCCTTATACATATGGCTAATGACTTAGACAACCACTTAACAGCCATTCAGGGAAGAAAAGAGCAGAAAGCTACTGTGTCCCAGATCCCATTTGTCACAACCTGCAGTCCTAGACGTCCTGTAATGACAGCAGTTAGAGGAGTAAGGACCCTCATAAGCCTCTGCCTCTGGGATTTCTACGTTTTGTTGTCTTAGTTCTGTTTTAAGAGCCACGTGAGAAACATGCTGGTGTGTTCCTACTCTAGAAAGGTAAATGTGCATTTGTTCTAAGAAACTGACAGCTAACTGGCTATTTCAAGTCAATGGTTCAGCAGTTAGGAGACTTGTTGCTCTTCCAGAGGAACTGGGTTTGCTTCTGGCGCCCACATGCTGACTCACAACCATTCTTAACTCCAGTTCCAAGGTACGCAATGTCCTCTTCTGATCGCCTCAGGCACCAGGCACACATACATATATGCGGGCAAAATACGTACAGCATAATATAAAAGTAAAATTTAAAAAGCAAAAACACGGGTTCTCCAAGTCCTGCATAAACTGCCACCATCCTCAGAAAGGAAGAGCAGAACTGAGTCTGGCCACCTAGGTTTGAGCCATTCTCAATAGACTGAAAGACACCAACTTGTCTACCATCCATGTAAGATAGCCCTATCTTGAAAACCTTCCAAAGTATAAAAATGTCTGAAACTAGCTCCCAAAACACTTGTTTATGTTTAGTACTTTTAGGACATTTAGAAGGAAAAAAAATCATCAGGAAAAAAAAACCTAATGTAGGCATAAGGTTCAAATTCAGCATTTAAAATTAAAAACATTTAAATTACAGGTCATAATTTATGCCTCTAAAATAATTTACACAAAAACTTAAAACAAAAAAGCAGATGTGATTCTGGGTAAGGGATAGTGATTGTATTTATAGATTACTTAAGGAAAATTTATGACATTCTAGTAACAGTGAATGCTTTTTCTTCATCCAATTGCTTACTATATCACACTGGTCTTATTTGTGCAGGCCTGTAGTTCTAGCACAAGGGAGGCTAAGAAAAAAAAAAAATCCATGTTCAAGTTCAGCATAAGTTACACAGTGTTTCAAGACAGCCTGTGTTAATGACACCGTGTCAAAGAAACACAAACAAACAAACAAAAAGGAACACTGTTAGAAAAGATAATCCTGGATAAAGAAAAATGGTAATAGTGTGGAAATCCCACCTTTCTTGCAACACATATTAACTGTAACACTGGGAATGCCATTAGAGAAATATGAGCAAAAACTGGACACCACAACTTATCTCACCATTCCTTTCAAGCAAGTGAGGGTCAGAATGTTTCTTGCCTATATCTGCAAATGATCGAACCAGGGGAATCCGACTCGTGAATCTTTTCTCATTTTGATGGTGATGTCTTTTCAGGAGAGCTTCTCTCACATTCTCCCTTATGGAGTCATCTAACTGGCCAGAGGCTATCATGTTGTCTAACACCATATCTATTCAATGAAAAAAAAAAATTAGAGTTATTTTCACTACATAAACACTATGATAACATATGAATAAAGGTAAATATAAACATTAGCCATCCATCAAAAAAGAATAATTAGCAAGACCTTATTTCACTATGTAGTGTATTTTAAAGAGCTGCTTTCCCATGTGGTAAATTCTAGTTAATAAATGAAGGAGAAGTAGTAAATTCTATTTAGCTAAATATTCAATGGCATGGGATTCAAAAGATTTCCTCCGAAGTTCTGTGTTGTGCTAGGAACAGGGCTGTAAAAAAGTGGTAGCTCTTACTCTGTCAGAGGTGCAAAACCAATGACGTAGACAGAATCTGTGGCATGGCAAATTCCGCCAAGAAATAAAGGGGTGGGAGCGTGGGAGAGTAAAGGACTAATGGCAGGGCCCCTCTAGGCACTATTTTCTTTTTCTTTCTTTTTTTGTTTTGTTTTGTTGGATTTTTTGAGACAGGGCTTTTCTCTGTAGCCTTGGCTGTCCTAGACCTGCTTTGCAGACCAGGCTGGCCTCAAACTCACAGAGATCCACCTGCCTCTGCCTCCCTGAGTGCTGGAATTATAGGCATGTGCCACCACGCTCAACCAGGGCACTATTTTCAATGCACAAAAGTATGTACAAAGTTTTAAATATATATTTATTTTATATATATGTGTCTGTTACCGAGTATATGTATGTGCCCTATATGCTTGCAGGAGCTTGCAGAAATCAGGAGAGGCCATCATATCCCTGGAACTGGAGTTACAGAGAGTTGTGACTGCCGCAAGAGTACTGAAATCAAGCCCAGATTCTTTGCAAGAAAAACTAACGCCCTTAACCACTGAACCATCCCTCCAACCCCTCCCTGTATAAATTTTTTTTAACAACGCACTAAGAAGAATCTGATGATTTGGCTTTCTTTGTTGTTGCTTTTTTCTTTCTGATTGGGATGGAACCCTTATACATGCTAGGTAGGTGCTCTAACACTGAATTAAATCCCCAGCCCTATGAGAGATCATTTTAAGTCAAATCTTCAAAACTATGACAAAACTAATCCAAAAGAAAACCAGAAAAAAAAAAAAAAAACCTAACAGGTAATTCTTAACATTAGCATAATCACAGCTCATCACAAGTGAGTGCTTGAGTCCAGTCTCCACACCACTACATTCTATTCTGGGGGATGGTAGCACAGCCATACCCATGCAGACAGCACCAAATGGACTCGGTAGGCCATAATAACTGAGAATGCATGCAAACGGGAGGGGGGTTTGCTAAGGAGACCACGAAACAGTGAGTGGGAAGATCTGGCATAACAAATGATAAAGATACACTACAGATATAAAACTATCAAAGAATAAGTAACAATATTCTTTTTAAAAATAAAAGTTCTATTTTGTGACAACTATCAGATGTAATCTGTCCATATTCAGAATGAATGAGACTTGACAATTCAAAGATTTGCAGCACCCAGTCAAATGTAACAATCACGGAAAATTCAAGTTATTTATAGCCCACAAATTACAATTTGGGCTTTCTTAACAAACCAAAATACTAGGTTTATTGCTTCACTGTGAGAACAATCTGCAGTGACTACATAGTATTATCCTCATTTACATCAGATTTGATTTTGGTATTGAGCAACTGTGGACCAAAGTCATTTAACAATCACAACTCTCTTTCTGTTCCCCTTCCTTATACTCCTTCAAGTCTGTCTCTCATTTTTGTTCCTTTGTTTCCTGCCATACTTAATGCCAGCTTTACTAACTCAAACAACTCCAAAGAAGTAGTTGGACTGGTTGCTTCCATTACCATCCCACTCCAGAGTTATGCAGGATAATATTCCCAGGGTACATGTCAAGATCACTCTCTTGCCAACTTAATCACAAAAACTGCCCAAATGCTCACCAAATAAAATCAATGTTTCAGCCCGGTAATTTGAGGGTTACCACAATCTGTCCCTTTCTTGGGCAAGGGAAGAAATGAAAATAGGACCTTATATATGATACGTGAGCACTATGCACACTCTCAGCCTTCTACACTTAATTATTCAAGAAACACGCACCTTCCTGTGGAACTAGCTGACTGTGCCCAGTCACACTGCCTGTTCTTCTCTGGAACTCTCTTCTTGCTCAGGCTCCTCCATAAAACACTGTCTTCTCTTACAGTACCTGCTTCTTCTGCCCAGGTACACTGATTCTAGAGCTGTAGAGTTAATGTTCTTGTCGGACTTTCACCAGTAAGACTTTCCTCTCACCTCCCAGAGGGCAAACTGCATATGTGCTGATGGCAGTGGTCACATTCTAATTTAACCTGTTAGTCTCTAAGACAAACCTACAGTGCCACTAGAAAGACTAAACCCTCAATATATAGCTGTTAAACGAGTGTCTTAAAATAACACTTCCTCTTATTTAATTATCGTAAATGTAAAAACAAAAAAATCAGTTAACCTGCTATTTCATCGAGAGTGCTTGCTCTCATATCCAGCATGACTGTTCCATTTAGGATACAACTCCTCAGTTCAAAGAGACTGTGCAAAGACAGAGTTGCCACATAGGGCTTACTCCATCGGTCACCACCATCTTCAACATCCTCTTCAAATTTCAGCCACCTAAATGAATAATACAGAAACACTAAAAATAATTGACATTTTATTTGCTTATTTTAATGCCATAAACATTAACTTGATTTTTAAAAAGAAAAACACAGAAAAAAAAAATCACCACCAAAACAAAATACTGCCTCAAAATGCATTTCCACAAATTAGGCCAATGGTTTACACTGTCTGCAACCATCTAAACCTCTGCATCATATGGTAAGCTCATAGTTTAACAACATGTAAATAGGTCATCATAGTTTGTTTCTTTGTATGAAAAAAAAATTTATATTTAAAAAATAAGCCAACAAAAACAAAAGAACAGTATTTCTCTTATATAAGATGTTAACTTCAAATTTGTATAAAGACACTTAATCAACCATTACAAACTCTTTTATAACATATTAAATGAGAGCACTCAAGGAAACAAATTGAGAGCAAAGAAAAAAAGAAAATTTCCAGGCATTAACAAGGAAAGGGACCACTAAGTAGGTAAAAGCAGAAGGATTGCTGCAAGCCTGGGTTGTACCCTGAGTTCCAGACCAACAGGATTATAAAATAAGAACCTATTTCAATAAATAAATAAGTAAACAAATAAATGAATCACCAACTGTATCTTATAATTTCCCTTTATAAACTGAGAGAGAGCAGTGTTACCTGGCGGTCTCCTTCCACTCATACTCTTCTCCGTCTCTGTAGCAGAGCTCATCCATCTCTGTGAAGAGGTCATGGGGAATGTGCTCCTCATCGTCATCTTCAGTGCCGAGGATGAACTGTACCCTCTGTGACGGTGTGTCTTTACAAAACAACAGCACATACACTTCAGGGGAAGGTCTGGAACTAACCACTTCTATTATAAAAAACAGATTCTGGTGGGGGGGTGATGGCTCACATGTACAACTCTAGTCCTCAGAGAGCTGTAGCAAGAAGAGAACTTCAAGTCTACGGCCAGCCTGGTCAGCACAGTAAGCTCCACACCAGCCAAGACTGTACTAATGTTACTTCCAAACTCCAACTCCAATATACACACACACACACACATATATATATATATATATATATATATATATCTCCATGTCATATACATATAGATGAAGTATTAGATAAAATAGTAGAGACAGCTAAGTTCATGAATTAAAAGAAATGGAAGCCTTTAAGTTTTAGAAACTGAAGTGAAACTTCAAGCTACCAACATGTAGAAGCCAGCTTTCCTGTTGTAATAGAGAAATACAACTGTCAGCTGGGGGTTAGGAGGTCAGAATAACTGCAAAAAGCATACTTGCAAAATAGACACTAGGCCACTAAATAGCAGAAAACCTTAAGGCTTTCAATTAAAAACAAAATCCACTCTGCTGTACATGAGAAATGAGTTCACACAAAAACTGACACCTAAGTAAACAGTCCTCCAGGCCCCTGTGGATGCAACAGAATACTTGAAGAGGACAGTTAGAGAGATCCACAGCCTCTCTCTCCTGGAGCTAAGAAAAAAAGGTATGCATCACCATGCCCAGTGATTTATTTTTTATTTATGTATGCACATATGTGCCTTTATGGGGTCTGGAAGGGCCCGCAGAGGACAGAAAAGGGTTTTGCATCGCTTATAGCTAGATTTACAAGGCAGCTGTAAGCTGCCTGAGGTGGGTGCTGGGAACTGAACATGTGTCCTCTGAAAGAGCAAAAAGCTCTCTTCACTGGGCCATCTCACCATTTCTAGTTTTTGTTCCTTTTCCTGCAGCTTAATACATTTTACCTTTTCCTGTAGTTGCTTAGGCTAGACTACAATATCCCTGACTCCTATTCCTTCTTTCTAATGCTCAAGAATCAAATGGACCAAGTCTCTAAGCACTGCATTGGTTGCACCTGACAATTTTTGGTGCAGACAGTTTGGTTTCACATAGTTCTTCACTAAGTGAAACCTGTGCTATCAGCCATACCTATGCTGTAAAAGGCTCTATCTATGCTGCCTGTACTGTTCTCACTCTCAACAAGACTGAAATTTTCACTGCCTCTAGATTCTTCTTTAACCCAGGCTCTTGAGTGTTGGCCAGGCCCTACCTTGTGATATCAGAGGAGAAAACAGTTCCTGAGCTATCAGCCAGGCAACAGGACTTATCTTACTTGCCTCTTCTCACAATTCAGAACCTGGGCTACCTGCTATCCAGGGATCAAACTATTGTTTTACAAGTTCTGTCCTCCTGGAGAACCATTTCAAAGTGTAGATCTTAGGTGAGTTAAAAATAATGTACGGTATAACTACCACTTGCATATCAAAGTCTTCACACAAAGACACCATGATGAACGTAACTTAGGAACCACTGCACAGCATACGCATCATGTTGCTAGACTATGTACAACTGTTAGCAGCACTGGGTTACAAACATGTGCCACCACTCAGCTATTACATGGGTGCTGGGAATTAAACTCAGGTCCTCATGCTCGAGCAGGTAGTATTTTTTTTTCCACTGGGCCACCTCCATAGCCCATAAGTGTGTACTACTGTTAATCTCGCTTCAGCAGAGAAAGGAAAGCTGGACGTGGTGGTGCCTTTCTATAATCCCACCACTCAGGCAATGGAAGCAGGAGAATCAGAAATTCAAGACCAACCTCTACTATATCACAGTTTGAGCTCAGTCTGTGCTACAAAAGATTCCATCAACAAACACAAACAATTAAAAAGCATGGATGTACTTTCCAACTAAGGCCAGGAAGAATGGCTCCTGCAAAGAAGGGTGGGGAGAAAACAAAGAGTCATTCTGCCAACAACAAGGTGGTGACACAAGACTATACCACCAACATACATAATCACAAGATTACAGAAGTGCTTCAATGGAGTGTGCTTCAAGAAGGCTGCCCCTCAGGCACTCAAATCCAGAAATCTGCCATGAAGGACACAGGACATGCACATGTGTGCATTGATGCCAGGCTCAACACATCTGCCTGGGCCAAAGAAATAAAAACTGTTCCCTATGACACCTGTATACATTTGTTCAGAAAACATAATAAGGATAAGGACTCATCAAACAAGCTCTATGGTTTGGTAACCACATTCAAAAACCTACAGACAATCAATGTGAATGAGAAGCAACTGCCAAATGAGAGAATTATAACCACCATCCTCCTCTCAATAGATAGACAGATAGATAAGTAGATAGATAGATAGGTAGGTAGGTAGGTATGTAGGTCGGTAGATATAGATAGATAGATAGATAGATAGATAGATAGATAGATAGATAGATAGATAGATAGAT